TTTTTGTGTGGAAAATAGATAGTTCTTATGCATGTAAGAATTATTTAATCTTGGATAATAATTGATAGTGATGAACATATTATTCATGAGTGACCCGGTATGTATTTCTTAAATTTCAACTGTATCTAAATTTTTTCTTCCTTGGCATGAATTAGGCTTATAATCGGAGTAATTTCATTAACATTTTCTTGAATGGAATGCTTAGCTTTGTTGATATAGCTGTATTGATATTGTACCTTTCTTATGTTACATTAATTTTTCTTTAAACTATCATGTAGAAATATGGGATGCTCTATAATTCCACATGCTCATAAGATGATATATAAGATCCGTGTGCAAAATGTGGAATATCTAAACCATATTTCTTATGTACTAAAAATTTTTCAGAAAATTAAGAAATAAGGGAAACTAGTTGAAGCCATAACGGTTGCAAGGATTCTGAATGATTGGAAATCATTTTGGCACTATTATTGGCGGATAATGTAGACATTTTGAAATGTTGTCAGAACATGGGAATCACAATTTCGAGTCATAAAATAAGCAGGAGACAAGTCAAACTGGATGAAGCCATAAAGATTGAAGGAATTTAAATGATTGAAAAACATTTTCGTGCTAGTATTTGAGGATAATGTAGATGTTTTAGAATTCAGCAATAGTATGGGAATCAACTTTTAGGAGTTATAGAATGAGGTTATAAAAGAGGGCAATGAAACATAGGCTTAAAGAAGTTTAATTGTCCTGAAAGAATTAATTTAGTTTTATGCCAAGATGATCCATTATAAGGGTGAATTTATGTCAAGTAAATTAATGAAAAAAAACTACAAGAAACTATTTTCATGTAGTGTTTGTTATCTTTGAGAAGACAAATGAAAGAAAACTATGATAAGATTACTAAAGATATTTATGACAGGCCACTGACTAGTTTTAAAAGTATTTGTGGAGTGATTAAAAACTTGCAATCTATTAGGATTATATTAAGGATCAACATTAAATTTTCATTTTTTTATATTAGTTATATAAATGCTTACAAAAGATATTCAAAATGAGGTACCTTAGTGTATGATGTTAGCAATCAATATTATTGTCTTAACAGGTATTTTTTCTATTGAATTAATTGGAAGGTTGGAACGTTAGAGGGAATATTCAGAAGAGTTGGGCATAAAACTACTTGAGCAAAGATTTGGTCAATGATATGCAATTTAGTAGGTTTAAAATTGAGAATTAAAAGTTCATATTATTTTAAGATCAAGTGATCGCTAGATGTGATAGATTTGAAAATAACCCGAGAAATGATAATATTTGAGGGATGAACGAATAACTTCTATTGATGATAATGAAAAGTAGACTTGTGTGGTTTAGACGTCTACAATAAATGGTAGAGAAGGCATCAGTAAAAATATTAAATAAAATTAATATTAATGTATTAGGAATTGAAAGGAGTATATTAAAGATGGCATGGATAGAAATTGTAGAGATCTAACACTTCATTCAACATTGCATTGAATGAATGGAGAATAAAGATTCATAAAGTTAATATGAAGTAGTTTAGAGAAGGCTAATAATGATGATGGTGATGGTGTGATGGCTCTAATATATAGAAGAATCATGTTATATATGAGAATATAAGTTCCTAGAGGTAGGGTTGATAGTTAAAATTGAGAAGTGCCTATCGAGTACAATAAAGCAGGAGATAATATCATGGAGAGTAAAAGGTAATCTTAATTTTGTGAGTTATGATTTTATTAATTGTGTTATATGCATCTTATTGTTGGAGAATAATGAAGTTACCGATTGCCTATTGAGTTTGAATGAAACGGGAATATGATGTCATACAAAATTAGGATGACTTAATTGAGAAATGATTATATTAGAGTGATTTCGAGTGTAGTTTCTATTGATCATATGATAGAGT